AGAGACTTTGTCAGTAAATATAGAAGGAACATGAAAATTAATTATTTAAAATTTATTTATTAGATTCAAAGGGCTGCCACAATACGGTCCCTGGTTCTCAACCATAACTTGAGGCTTGAAACGAAGCAAAACCAATCCTAACAGGTGGTTGAAAATTGAAAAGAAACGTGGGGGCTCATCCCAACACGTGTAAATAAATTGTCTCAACCTTTCCCAGGAAGAGAGAAGGAAAAAACTGAACTTCGGCTTGAAGTCAGCTGCCCTTTCAAAATAGCTACCGTGAGGCGGAGGCAAGTTGGGGCATAGGTAATCGTAAGAAGTAGAATGCAATAATAATATTATTATTGCATTCTACTTCTTACGATTACCTATGCCCCAACTTGCCTCCGCCTCACGGTAGCTATTTTGAAAGGGCAGCTGACTTCAAGCCGAAGTTCAGTTTTTTCCTTCTCTCTTCCTGGGAAAGGTTGAGACAATTTATTTACACGTGTTGGGATGAGCCCCCACGTTTCTTTTCAATTTTCAACCACCTGTTAGGATTGGTTTTGCTTCGTTTCAAGCCTCAAGTTATGGTTGAGAACCAGGGACCGTATTGTGGCAGCCCTTTGAATCTAATAAATAAATTTTAAATAATTAATTTTCATGTTCCTTCTATATTTACTGACAAAGTCTCTGATGATGGCCTAATCGGCTGAAAGCGCTAAGACTACTTTTACTGAGTTTTATTAATATTAATAAAACTATCTACACACTTTAAATACGTCACATTCATTTCTTTTTAAAAACTTTGTATCTAAAAAGTATTAACATTGAAAAATTTTAAACATGACAATCGTTTTAATTACTTAGTACAATATAATATCAATACAAAATGAAATTAATAGGTAGCAAGCAATTCTCATGCAAGCTAGTACATGGCTTGCATGAAAAATGCTAAACTAAAGTTAGATTATATCATCTATAATTTGGCAACTATGCATTTTTTCTATTCGATATTTGAATTTTTGTTTAATTGTTACAATGACAAGTGTCCCTATGGCAACAGTTGTACCGAAACTGATTTCAGCGATAGTTTAATTAAATCATCTATAAGTTGGCAACAATGCGTTTCCATACCACTGAATTTGAGTTTTTTGTTTAGTCGTTACTATGACAACTGCCTTTATGCCAACAGTTTCTCCGTAACTGATTTCAGCTAAACTATAGTTAAATTAAAGCATCCATAACTTGGCAACTACTTATTTTCTCACCACCGTATTCATGGGCACCGTTTGGGGGGCATGGGGAGGGGGCTTTTACGACTTTACAAAGCTTAATGGCTGTATGTCACGATACTAAATTAGGTACTAAAATTTAGCCCTAAATTGAGTTATTAATTTAGTACTAAATTTAAAACGAAAAATATTTTTTCCTTTCGCAACAATACCAATTTTTAGTTCTAAATTAAGTATAGGCGCACGCGAATTGATATATTATTAGGTGAAATTAGCTCATAAATGAAATATTCTGTGTAAAAGAGACAAGTGAATTAAAAGATTTTTTATTATGATTTTGACACTAGTAGATTTGACAACAACCAAATACAGCAATGCTACTAAAAATCACAAAAAAACAATAAAACTACAAAATCAAACTCAAGCGAAATTTATCCAAGGTGATAATGCAAAGTTGTCGCTAACCAAAAACAAAATGGTACAGAAAAGACCGTTGTGTCTGAGACGCATTTTTAGTACTAAATTTAGTCCAATTAATTAATTTCTTTAGTACTAAATTTAATACTAAATTTGCTGTTTGCACCGTGAATTTTTTTAGGGCTTAAAAAATGCATTAATTTAGTTCTAAACTTAGTATCGTAATATACAGCCTTAACATATTCATTACTGATATTTCGTTAGGTAGGTACTATGTGCCACAGTTTGACAACGCTGTATACGGTAAAATTACACAATTACACAACTGGCACTGGCTCATATGATCCATTATCGCCGTGCACGCATTACAATAATCACAAGGCTTAATATGTTAGGTAGCCTTTAAATTGATTGAATTGTTTAAGGAAATAGAAGAAATAGGTAAACATGACAGGTGTAGAAATCTAAATGCCACGAATTACGGACAATAATCTCATAGAAATAATATTCAAGTTAATACAGTTGGCAAGTATTATAGGGGTTGAATATATTTATTCCATATCCATATCTTACACGTACCTATCCATTTTACCATTTTTTAAAAAGTAGGTAAAAACAAAACAAAAAGCCAAAAAGTTGCTGTGTAAATTGTAAAAATACTAGCAGAAAAAACAGTGTAAATTATATAAATTTTCAGTAGCAAAATGGAAATTAAATCAAAGAAATAAATGGATAGATATACAATAAGAAAAAAAAAACCTTTATTTTTGTTATAATAATAGTAATACTGGAAATAGTAGACATCAGAAAATTGAAAGGTTTTAAATAAATTATTATTTTACAATGTTGTTCAACATCCCTTAACTCTTAAATGTTCAGCAAGGATTAGATTTCTGCCGTTGATTATTGTAAATGGCTGAAATGAAATCTTCTGACGTATTGATAGGAAACCAATTTTAATCATTAATTTCTATGGGTTCTTTCGAACTAAAAATGAAGAAAATATAATTTACAATCATAAATATACCAATTATTTTTGTTAATACGTTTTGATACTACGTTATTATATAATGGTAATATTTTTATTTTCACATTATTTAACCTATTATTCATGACAGAAGTAATAAAAATATATAATAATAATTAATCTTTTCAGTTGTTTTACAAATCTATATACTTTTATTAAAATCAACAAATATATTTTTTAATTGCGAATTTTATTAAAAATTGTATTGTAGTATACTCAAATATCGTCCGTTATTTCATAAATTAGTTGGCGCTGCTGTCACGCACAGAGCGAAAAATGAATGAAAATAGGGTGACTGGGGTTTGCATGATGAGCGTACATCGAAAAATAATCGCAAAAAACTAAAAAGAAATCATGTTTTCTGTTATCGATTATTTTTGGTAGAGGAAGAAAAAATTAAAAATTTGCGTTTTCCTAGTGTTCGTCGACGTGTTTGAGTGATTTTTTTTGTTTTTGTGTTTCTATAAATATTTTTTTTTTTTTTTGTTATTATGTACGGCTGTCTTCTTGTTGAAATTTTTCTTTTATATCACACCTTCTGTTTGTTTTTTAAAAATATGTGTTTTAAGTTTCTTGTTTTTTTTATTTTAGTTTTTGTCTTTTTTGTTGGGTTATTTTATCTATAAGAAACTTTTGTTAATTTTTATTTCTCTTTTGTTTTTCATTTTCTTTGTTTTTTAACAAATAAACATTCTAAATTTTTTCAAAATTTAGCCCCTCCCTATAGAATTGTGTAACGACGTCATGACCGTATTTGGGTTTTGTTTACTTGTTACCATGATAAGTATCCCTATGGCAACAGTTTGTCCTTAACTGATTTTAGCTAAATTAAATCATCTATAACTTGACAACTACGCGTTTCCTCACCACATGATTTGGGTTTTTGTTTAGTCATTACCATGACAAACGTTCCCATGGCAACAGTTTCTTTACAACTGATTTTAACTAAACTAAAATGTAAATTAAATCACCTTTAATTTGGCAACTTCGCATTTATGTCAGCACCCACTAACAAAAGAACGTTCAGAGGTAGCAAAGTGGGTTTTTAACAAATAAAAACCTGTGTTTTGTCACATGCACTATCATACAGTGTTTCTACTTAAGTCGGAACCATATGAAAAACTTTTTTATTACTGGTTTTGTGAAAAAATATATGTGATAAAAAATTCTACATGGTCCAAAACTTAAAATGCAACCATCAGATATCAATTTTTTTAAGCCGTATACGAGGTTTATCAAAAAATATGAATTTACTCAAGAGTAAAGTACCTTTATTTTTTACAATACAGTCTATACAGTTGAGCAAAGCATTAAAATGTCGAATTTAATACTAATATATAAGATGATACATCACAAAACTCCGAAATACCTTAGTACACTACTTGTAAAAAGATCTGAACTTCATTTACGTCCACTCAGATCAATGGACAATTTTAATATTGATTTCACAAAAAAATCTTTTTTGATGGGCTCATTATTGCAGGAACGGATTCGTCTTTTTAATGCGTTGCCTAAAAATATAAAAGATGCCCCAACTCTAGGTAGTTTTAAAAATATGATTAGTAATTATCTAGGTTTAGGTAACTTATAGTTTTAAGTTTAAATTGTAAATATTTTTTCATAACTAGCTGAAAGCTAAATAAAGAATTTACTTACTTACTAGAAGAATGTTATAAAATAAAAGTATTTTGAATTAAAAATATGCAATTTAGCATTAAAATTCAGGTTCTCGAGTAAAATTCATATTTTTTGACATACGGCTTAAAAAAATTGATTTTTGATGATTGCATTTTAAGTTTTGGACCATGCAGAACTTCTTATCAACAATAATTTTTTTTAGAAAACCAATATTAAAAATGTTTTCCATATGGTTTCAACTTAAGTAGACACACTGTATAACTCGGAAAAGACAGACAATTAAGAGAAGTCATATAAAAGACAAATGTTTTCCTTACCCATATCTTTCATTTGGCATATATTTTATTCCTATTGGGAGGTGGGACAAAACTGTCCATTCTCCTTTGAAATTATCTTTCATTTAAGACTCTTTTCAGAAACAAAAATTTAAAAAATGTTGGATCGATTTGATGAGTGAACCTCGGCCGTATGATCTTTTTTGGCCAAACCAGAAGTTGCTTGGCCTCGACTGCTTCTCGGACGTAAAAGTCTGATTTAGCCAAAAAAGAATCACTTTACGGTTTTGGTCCATAAATAACTATTGTGTATCACACATGAGTTAAGTGTGTATTTAAAATGTAACAAAATTGTAGTTTGCTTAAACTATAATATTTTCAAATGAAATAAAAATTGAAAATAATAAAACAAAAATATAATTCATTTAGGGATTAAACCATCTCCACTTTGGGTTTTGGAGCTCACAGCTGCTCCCGAAGGAAAAATTGGAATACCTAATGTCAAATTAGTTGGAAATATCCATGGGAGTGAATCCGGAGGACGAGAAATTCTTTTACATTTTATACAGGTAACAATTTTTTCCTAAATTCTACTCAGCTCAGTATTTTAACTTAAAGCAAGCAACAAGAAATTATGACCACTTAGGTAAGTGACACATATCTTTCTATTTATTCTTATGGGAAGTGCCCTATATCACAAGCGTGTAGATAATAATCTACATTCAGGCCGTGTGTGAATATGAATATACTTTTCCACATCAGACGAATCATTTATACGTAACGATATTATTAGTAAAAAGGATTTGACGTTTAAAATAAAGACACAGATGACGAGTGATTTTATTTTATTTAACAGGTGCATGTACGTTACAACAAAAAACGATACACGAACAACAACTGACATGACATGACAAGAGACATAAAAAATGACAAACAATAATACCAACTTAAACCTAAAAATACAAAATAGTACTGTTTTAATTGTTGATTTCCAATAAATTGTTATATACCTAGATCCTAGATTTTTATTTCTATATGTTATTAAAATAATTTAAAAGTAACATTATTTTTATGTTTCTGATTAAAACACACATTTGATTGGATACTTGATTCTTTGTTCAACTGTATTAAGTTTGAATTTCTTTGAACGCCGTTTCAGCTAGTTTTCAAATCTTCAAATACCTCTATACAGCATCGGTATATATGAGAAATACATTAATGCATTGATGCATACTAAGCTCATATCTTCGTCTGCGTAAGTTAAGTTTTTAATATACGTTAAGCGACGTAAAGCTGAGAATGAAAATTGTGAATTTAATAGATCGTAGCTCGCCAATCGAAATTGGTCCGAAATGACCTCAATTTGCACATTAAATTGCTGTCTAAGAATCTCGACATTCAATGTCTTTATGGTCTAGATGTAAGTGCATTTGTTCAGGAACCAAAGATGTCTAGGTTATTATTCATAGTTGTTGATCTTACTATTTGTTATTTTTAAAAAATAATGAAAAATATGTTTGTATTATATTATGATTTTTTGTAGAGCAAAAGTGCCAGTGTAGTTCAAACAGAGCTAACAGGGATTCTTATAGCAGCAAAAGAAATTACCAGTAACAATATCACTGGAAGGAATATGCTCATCTATATAAATAGCAGGCAAGCACTACTTACCCCGAATAGACCACGAATTTACTCAGGGTTAGTACTAGAATATCACGTAACTTTGGCTGAAGTATCCATCAACAATGTGGTCACCTTAAGATAGATTAAAGGTCACGCCACATCGAAAGGTAACTGTCTTGCTGATTTACTGGCCAAGAAAGGAGCCAACCAAATACTTTTTGGACCTGGCCCTTCTAGTGGCCTGACAAAATCGGTAGTGACAGACCTGATTAAAGAACATTATCTTGTGAAATTCACGAAAAGATGGGATTAAACAAGAAACTGCAGAGTTGCCAGGAAGCTCTTAAGTTATCCTGACAACACTGCAGCAAACAAATACTTGACTATGACTAGACAGAATCTGCGCCTAGTCACAGGAATTCTGACTGCTCATTGCCAAGTAAGGAAGTATCTCCATATCATGGGGCTGTCAGAACACGCACTCTGCAGAGGGTGTGAACAAAAACATGAGACCATCGAGCATATCCTCTACGATTGCTCTATGCTCTCATTTATTAGTGAGGCCTAAGTGCCATGGGGGTAACCCACCCTCCTTACGATCCAGATACAGATGATTTTTTGTACCTAATATTATTTTACCTTTATCATCATCATCATCCTATGAAAGTGTTTGTAAATGGAATCGCAATGTTTTTAATTACTTTTGGAGTGAGGGTAGCCATATGTGAGTAGTAGGGATTAAGTGTAAAGGTTAAAGAAAAAGTCCTTTATTTCTCACAAAGTCAATTTATTGGCGACCGGTTTCGAAGTTGTCACTTCATCATCAGGCACACCTAAATGGAATATCAAGGAGTCAGTTGTAATAAAAACAATTATAAAAGCATGAACGGACTTTAACATATACAAAATAACAGAAAAAACACAAAAGAAAGTTAAACAATAACCTTGACTCACCTTGACTAATTCCATAAAGGAAGCGCTACAAAAAGTTTAACAGAACGAGTTAAAAAAGTCATGTGTAATAAGTATTTTTTTAAAAAATGTTTTAAATGTAGGTTAGGTTAAACCACCAGATGTCTTTTTGAATAAAATAATTAATTAAAACACATTTAAGACAATTATTAACTAAACAACACAAAATAGTTTTACAAGCACAAACAGTTTAAAAAATTTAAGGAAATAATGTTAATTACTGAAAGTAAAAAGTAAAAAAGTAAAAATTATCAGACTGTCAAGACATCTATCTAGATTTTTAACGAATCAATGCAGTAAACTGTAAATTTTAAATTAGCGGATAAATAGTGTACTAACGGAGGTGTTATTTACTGAAAGTGAGTATAGGTGGCGATGACAAAATTTATTGAAAGTAAAATATATTAAACTGAGAATGAGAAAACAAAAAATTTTTTATACTAACAAGAAAATTAGAACACTAAACAAGAAAATATGAAAATTCATATGTAAAAAGGGAAAATTTGAAGCAGATAATCAAAAAGAAAATTACTGTTAAAGGAAACGGAAAATAGGTTGACAGTACGAATGTCAAAAAAGAGGAAAGTCAAATTTTGGCGTATGACAACCACGTTGGAGAATTTGAATAAGCTAAAAAAATTTTAATAAGATGCGAATGGGCAAAAATTAATGGAAAGAAAATCTAAATTGGGAGAGTTAATTGTGGTAAGTAACTGACTGAAGATCAAATGAGTGGGGGTAAAAGTCTGAAAATAATTTAAATAAGCGCAGAGAACGTTGGGGTACTAATAAATTGAATTTGTGCATTCAGAGAGCAGGAGGGGCCAGATTTAATATTTTCTCAAAGTTATTCAGAAGGAATTTATTAGAAGTCATATGCAAAATGTCGAAGCCAATGCTAGAATCAAAATCGTGACCAGTGTCTAACAAATGAGCAGCAAAGTGAGAAAAACCAGTAGTGTTAGTGTTAAGACAGCGTGTGTGCTCTTTCAGGCGTATTTTAAAATTACGAAAGGTCCTTCCCACATATGAGCATGGACAATTCAAACAAGTTAGTTTATAAACACCAGACTGATCCATAGGATCAATCTTATCCTTATTCCTAACAAACAGGCTACTGATCGAGTTTTTACATATGAATTTTCATATTTTCTTGTTTAGTGTTCTAATTTTCTTGTTAGTATAAAAAACAATTTTTTGTTTTCTCATTCTCAGTTTAATATATTTTACTTTCAATAAATTTTGTCATCGCCACCTATACTCACTTTCAGTAAATAACACCTCCGTTAGTACACTATTTATCCGCTAATTTAAAATTTACAGTTTACTGCATTGATTCGTTAAAAATCTAGATAGATGTCTTGACAGTCTGATAATTTTTACTTTTTTACTTTTTACTTTCAGTAATTAACATTATTTCCTTAAATTTTTTAAACTGTTTGTGCTTGTAAAACTATTTTGTGTTGTTTAGTTAATAATTGTCTTAAATGTGTTTTAATTAATTATTTTATTCAAAAAGACATCTGGTGGTTTAACCTAACCTACATTTAAAACATTTTTTAAAAAAATACTTATTACACATGACTTTTTTAACTCGTTCTGTTAAACTTTTTGTAGCGCTTCCTTTATGGAATTAGTCAAGGTGAGTCAAGGTTATTGTTTAACTTTCTTTTGTGTTTTTTCTGTTATTTTGTATATGTTAAAGTCCGTTCATGCTTTTATAATTGTTTTTATTACAACTGACTCCTTGATATTCCATTTAGGTGTGCCTGATGATGAAGTGACAACTTCGAAACCGGTCGCCAATAAATTGACTTTGTGAGAAATAAAGGACTTTTTCTTTAACCTTTACACTTAATTTTTAATTACTTCAAAATATCATCCGTAAAACACCCTAAAAATTATTCAATAAGGCATATATGTATAAATAAATAAAGAACCAGTCACATCTTGATTAAATCTCTATACCAGCTTTTCTGTTTTTTTTTGGTCATAGGAAAAATATTGTGATCTTCGTACTCAGCTTATACCTCGTACCACTTGTCTGAAAAATTTTACTTTCTATACTCGTAATACAATATAGTATATTGTATGTTTTACATTAATTCATTTTTTATTTCAGTATTTAATAGATGAATACGGAAAAAATGACAATATCACCTGGCTTTTGGACAACACTCGAATTCACATATTACCCAGTCTTAATCCAGACGGATTTGCTGTCGCCAAAGAAAATATTTGCCACGGTTGTGCTTTATGTTTAGGTCTTGGTGTTACGGATGAAGATATTGCAATGACTGGTAATTTTCCAGATTTTTTCCACCCTAATGAAGTTTTGAAGCACGCTAAAGAGACGTTGGCTGTCATGAAGTGGATGGAAGATGTCAAATTTATACTGTCTGGGAGCTTTTTTGGAAGTTTTATAGTCGCAATTTATCCATATTGCAATAAGAGTAAGTACGTATTGAATACTGGATGTTAGGAATAACAGCCGCGTAACCCTGAGACTTCTAGTATAACTTAGGACAGTATAGTATAACGGTGTGACAGGCTTCTGGTTCACATACAGTGAATCATGGAGTCTATGTGGCGCTAAGATGGTGATTTCAGAATAGGGGTTGCTCGGGCGCAGGTTTTGGTAACGCAGTTTGCTCTGCGATCCTGTAGTACACCAGAGTGTACTCAAAATAAACTCAGTGGAGTTAAAAATATTTTCAGGTGGTCACTGCTAACGAAGTAGCCACTAAACTAGAATTAAAAACACTTATCTCATAATTATCTCATAATTAAATAAAACTTACACGAAGTGAGACGCAATAATTCATTTGGACCTCTTTTAAGGAAATTAGATAACGTCGTCGAGGAAAAGAGCACTCATGAAAAGAAAATAAATAAAAAAAACAAAATCGGGTTGAACCTCTCACTCCGGCGTTAACTGGGTGTTCTTTAAAAGAGATTGGATAGAGTCGTCGAAATTGAGAGCACTCAAAGTCAAGCCCAAATCCAACCTCAAATAAAAAATTGCCAACGGTTTCCCACTAAGGGTTGAAATGAAAATACTGAATATGAAAAAAAAATTCTTATACTTATTGGACGGATGTCGCAAACTAATTGCAAAATGATAATCCTACCTTATGCCTTTTCAATAGGCAAGCTCGAAGCCCGGCAATTCGGAGTGGGAGATACCACCCGAGAATAATCGGTATTCTCGGATACCACCATTACATCCGAATGGTTACTATTTCAAAATGAAAAAATACCCTACTAGCACCTTGATAAATACAAGTAGATAATTGATACGAAATTAAATCTACAAATGCTCATTCGCATTTCGGCAAATATAGAAATATTTTAACCTACGAGGGTACTCGCAATTGTTTAAAAACGGGAATTCTTGGGATCTTCTACATGTCCTCAGGCGGGAATTAATTAAAATATACATTTTTAAAATTAATTAAAGATAAAATTTAGTGACTTCGTCACAACGGTGTACACTTATTTCGTCAGTATCGACAAGGTGGGTGTTCTGTGCTATCAACGATTACTTCTTGAACAATTTGAAGATGTTACACGACTTATTTGTTATATATTTTTCAAATTTGTTGAAGTACATTTGTTTTTTTATAGATGAAACTTTTATTGAAAATCCAACACCTGATGACGATGTATTTCAATATTTGGCCCTAACTTATTCTAATAATCATGCAAATATGCATAAAGGATTAAGTTGCCCTGGCTCGCAAATGCAATTTGATAATGGTGTTATTAACGGAGCATCCTGGCATAATCACGATGGTAAGATTTTTTTTTTAAATCCATTTCACTACCATAGTAGTTAATATTTAAAAAAAAATAAACATATTACTTAAAAAATTTATTTACAGAAAATATTGTAACTTTTATTTTAACAATTTATTTATGTTAATTTATATGTACTAAAACACTGAATTAATAGCATAATTTACAACGCTTATTTATGTATTAAATACTTATATAGTATCGGGCTTAGAACTCTTTCTAATACGGTTTGCACAAGTGCTTGTGAAAACTAGATCAGTGGTGGCTTGTGAAAACTAGATCAGTGGTGGCTCGTTAAAAAAATATTGGTGGTTCACAATGACAGAATATAATCTTTCAATGTTTATAATATACCTTTCTAAAACACTGAACGTTTTATATCTAAATCTTTACTTAGATCAATATTCTGTCATTGTGAATCCAAAATATTTTGGTTACTAGCCGCCACTGCTACAAAGAGTTAGCATTAGACAAACAGGAAACGAATAATATCGGCGATGCTAGATTATATGGCCCGACCAACGTTTCAACGCAGTTTTACATGAAAAATGTATTAAAAGTACACTGTATTCTAAAAAAAAAGCAAATGTTGACATACAATTTACCTGCAATATATCTGCAATAAATTTACAATTTATTTACAATATAACTACAATATACGAACAATATACTTGCAAAATACAATATACTTAAAATATACTTACAATATACTTACAATATACTTACAATATACTTACAATATACTTAAAATATACTTACAATATACTTACAATATACTTACAATATACTTACAATATACTTACAATATACTTACAATATACTTACAATATACTTACAATATACTTACAATATACTTACAATATACTTACAATATACGTACAATATCCTTAAACTTATAATATACGTAGGTACACTATCCTTATACCTACAATATACTTACAAATACTTAATATTATTAAGCGATTTGAAAAAAATATTTGTAAAGTAGACCATCAAAAAAAGCACGCATATTAAAACCTACAAGTATAAAGTATATTTACGGATTCGAGATTCTCGCGATATAACCGAAGTTCGATTCAGACTTACTTAAGTACTGTCTACAATATGCAGCTTAGATTTAATTGAAAGGCGTGCGTAGTTATCAGGCACATGACTCATGTCACCGACACAGTTTATTGCTAAAGAATCAGCTCACTTGGACCAGTTGAATGTTCCAAAATAATATCCACTCCACGGATACAAATTCAGGATGCGCAGAAGACTGCTGTTTGAATATAGGCGGTTGTCATATATTGTAGTGGTTTTGATTTGATTCTGTATGTGCTAGGGATACGAATCCGAGTTGCGCAGTGTATGTTATGTTGAGAATGGGGTGTTAAAAGATCTATTGTGCCCTCTTCTGTCGCCACTGCACTAAGGAAATGTCTCAATGCCTATAGCGACCCTTCCAATCCTATTTTCTCAAGGAAGTGTAGGATTTGAAGTGGCTTCAAGTTAGGTAAATCTCCCTCTTCTATTTGATATTCTCCTAGATATAGTGCTTTTGGATTCTGGAGTGCTACACATTCAGTTAGGATGTGAATGGAGGTTTCGTCCTCCTCCTCACAGAATCTGCATTCACTATCCTCTACTACTCTCAGTTTACTTAGGTGTCCTTTTAGTCGGCAATACCCGGTAAGGATCCCTGTTACAATACGTAGCCTGTTCTTGCTCAGGCAGATGCAGGCTTCCGATCTTTTCTGGTTATATTCACCCAGAAGTAGCTTGGCCTGTCTCAGCCCCAAGAGATTGTTCCAATTATCGGTTCTTCTACTGCCCAATTCTTTTTTAATCTCTCCTAATATTATGTCACTGCTGATACCGCAGAACGGCTCAGGTCCTACAAAGGGTGTTTGAGCCCCTTTCCTTGCAAGACTACCTGCAATCTCCTCACCCTGTACCCCGTTATGTCCCTGGATCCAAGTGAGAGTAACTCTATTTTTCTCGCCTAGCTCATTCAATTGTTCTAGGCATCTCCAGACCAGTTTTGAGCTGATTGCGTAAGAGCTCAGCGCTTTGATGGCTGCTTGACTATCGGACATGATGATAATCTCTTGTCTATGATAGTTTCTCTCGATGTAAAACTGGATACACTTCTCGATGGCGTGAATTTCCGCCTGGAAGATGCTTGGGTATTTTCCCAAGCTTTGGGAGTGCTTGATTATCGGCCCATACACTCCTATTCCAGTTCCTTCTATGGTTTTGGAACCATCCGTATACCACTTAATAGCACGTCTTTCGGTTGCAAGCGCGATGGATTCTTGGCTCCATTCTTTCTTGCAGCCCAGCTCTGTGGTTTTGAAGTTTTTCACAAAACTGTACTTCTTTTGCATTTCATCCTGGGACATGTCCCAGGTATCTTTAGTCCTGAAGCAAGTAGACTTTCGTCTAATTACTCCGTTTCTGATCATTCTATATTATAGTGTCCTTTTTGCCACATTCTCTATCATCAAATGTAGAAGGGCGAGGTTTAAGATCACCTTCATTACGGCCGTAAGACAGGTTCTCATTGCACCAGTAATGCAAACACAGGCTAGTCTTTGTACTTTTGAGATATTAGCTCTCGTAGTAGCTAGACTAGTTCTGTTACTCCAGGCTATAGCCACGTAAGTGATGATTGGTCTCACTATTGCACTATACATCCATCGCAGTATGTTTGGGTTACATCCCCATCGTTTACCTGCAATATTTCTGCATACCATTAGGGTTTTGTGGCATTATTTACTACTTCCTTCTCATGTGTGTTCCAGAGAAGTTTGTTGTCCAGGGTTAGGCCTAGATATTTGACTTAATTTTTCCATTCTATATCTATCCCGTCTAATTTAACGGTTTTGAGATTGAGTTTTCTTTTCCTTGAAAAGGCTACTAGTGTTGTTTTTGTAGGGTTTATACTAAGTCCCACTTCACGGCACTTTTGGTATGTTCTGGTCCTCGTTGGACTATATCACACAGGATATTACTAAACTTGCTACTAGCAAATATGACTATGTCGTCGGCATAACCTTGACAGGGTATGCCGAGGTCAATCAATCTACATAGAAGTTCGTCTAAGATTAGGCTCCATTTTAGTGGGGATAGAACTCCTTCTTGTGGACATCCTCTGGTTGTGCAGATGGAGATGGTGTCCTGCCCTATCTGTGTCTCTGCAGTTTTCGTAGATAACAGCTGAGCCATCCATCTGGATGTGATGTTATCTACTCCTCTGTATGCAAGTTTTTTTTTACAGATTCGTGTGGCGTATTGTCAAAAGCTCCTTCTATGTCTAGGAAGGCACACACGAAAGTTTCTTTGTTTGTCAGTTCATCCTGGATTACATCAGTCAACTGTACCAGGGCAGTTTCTGTAGATCTTCTTGCTTGGTACGCGTGTTGGCTGTGGTGGAGTGGCACCCTCTCCAGGACTTCTGTTCTGATATAATTATCAACAGCCTTCTCCATTGTTTTTAATACAAAGGGTGTGAGGCTGATTGGACGGAAAGATTTAGGATGTGTGGTATCCTTTTTCCCTACTTTTGCGCAGTGTATAAACTGGAACATTGAGATGAAAATTGCCGACGCAAAGTGAGCGAACTGATTCTTTAGCTATAAACTGTGTCACCGACTTTGTCGGTCATGGCCTACTCTAGACACATTTCGTGTAAATAAGTTGGTATTTTATGCTTTATCGAAAAATAAGTACAATGACTCATATTTCTGTTTGCCCATTATATTTGTCGACATTTTTCAAGGAAATAATTAGCCTTCAAAAGATTTGCGTTTTATCGAAATGCACTTTAATAATTGCATAGGTAACGATTTTTTACGTGTTTCTTTTTTTTGTAGCTGATATGACTGATTACAACTACATATTTCGCGGTTGCATGGAAGTGCGTTTTGAGATATCCTGTTGCAAGTACCCTGAAAGCGGAGAACTTGAAAACTTGTGGAACGATAACAGAAACGTAAGAAGTTTTAACGATTTAGTAATTTATTTTGTAAGAAGGTGACCTATTTTAAAAAGTTTAGTGAGAGAAACCCAACCGATTTTCAACAAGCTTAATTTCAGTTTTCTGAAGATTATAATTTGTCAATGTAGTTTCCTGATGATGCAGTAACTTCAATAATTCGACACCGGCAATAAAAAAGAATAACATTGTGATATTCCTAGACTATTCACAAAGCATTTTTAAATTCTCAAAGATAGAAACTTCCATGTGAACTCAAAAAAAGCAGAGTTGGACGATTTCCTTCAAAGGCTAGCAGAACATCTAGTTTCTTGTTTTCTGATATTATTTTTTTACTACATTTAGGGAGGTTTTTTACATGATCAGTTTCTCTGAATTTCTTCTCAATTTTGTATTGAGAACTGTGTATTGTGAAATTGGTTCTTATTAAACAAATTACATATATTTTTCCGAGTCCTTGTAATATTTAAATTGGTTAGTGTGACGTGTTACGACACAAAGGTATTTGTTTACAGGTTCCTCATTTCATTGTTAGTGACAGCCTTTATCAAATTTATTTTTGGGTATCTATTAATCCATAACAAAAATAATTAATAATTTGTGTTAAGAAATCTTAATTTTTTGACAATAAACAAAAATTAATGTGTTCGATAATTTTCTATGCCTCTCAAAATGAGAAAATCCATTTGAAAATTACTAGTAGTTTATTTTTGATTTTAGGCTTTAATTCAGTATTGTATGCAAGCAAATCGAGGGGTAACCGGTCAAATTTTGGACGTTTCAACGAACACTCCTGTCGAAGCTTCTATGAGAATCGTCGGCAGAGATATGCCGTTTAGAAATTTTCCAAAAACAGGGGAATTTTGGAGAATTTTACTGCCTGGAAAATACGTTCTGGAGGTGGGTTTTAAAACGTATTATTGTTTTTTCGTAGTCAAAAATAAATCTGTTGTGGTACTAGCCAAAGCAGTAGTTGTTCAAAAATTATTTGTAACATGGCTTTGTGATTTTATTGTTTTTCTTTGTTTAATATCTTGGTCACATTTTGAGTTTGGAATTATTTTTATTTTTTATAGAGTTCAATCTTTTTAAATCGGATTTAATTTAAATATGGATACCAAATATATCTAATATTGCTTTGTAATATAAGTATTTTGTATTCTAAATTAATATAATAGGTGTTATACCTCAACCCGTATCAACAAAAATAATAAACAGATTTCCTGCTTGAAAAAAAAAAAAAAAATATTCCAAGCATGATGGTGCACCTGTACCGGATATTAAGAGGAATTTGATGTATTCCTGAATTTTTTTGATTCATATTACTCCTTCTTTATAATATTAAAGAAATGAAGGCAATCCAAGTAAATATACATATTTCTTGAGCAGAACAGCTGTCCTACAACGATGTATAATAAAACAAGACATTGATTTTGCTCTAATCAAAGAACCTCTTGTATACAAGGAGCAAGTTAGGGGATTATGATATGATTTACTAAGCGTCTGGGCACTCAATAACCTGTATTATTGCAAATAAAAGCTTGTAGGTGTGTTTCCACATTTCTGTACAAATGACCTTGTGACAGTATCCCTCAAGATAGCTGAAGAAACTAATTTGATTGTTGCATCCGTCTATCTGCCATATGACCAACCCGGGCTCCCCCTACCAATAAGTGAGAAAACTGGTTAGTACTCGCGTATCGGGGACAACACTAATAATTTGTAATTGCTGTGGTGAGAGGTGTTTGTGTGAATACGTCTTATTTGTTTTCATTTACGCTGTGACTAGCAGTAGTATTTTATAAATCTTAGAAGCAAATTTTACATACATGAACAAATAATAATAATGCCGTGACAACAAGAAGACGAAGCAACGACTTCTCGTAGATGGCGGCTTCGCCGCCACCATAAAATTTCAATCCATACCTGGCTACGCCGACCAGCATAAACACCAACGGCCTGGACACAGCTCATCTACTCTGTCAAAAGGAACTCATGTACAAATAAAACGCGTACGACATGCGCATTACAAATGATTAGTGTTGTCTCCGATACGCGAGTACTGGTTAGTAACTGTAAGAAAACAAAATCGATCTTCTCCTAGGGTGTGATGCAAATGCTCACCACATAGTATGAGGGAGCAGTTACATTAATAACATCTTGCGATGGAAATGAACCAACCTTCGTAACATCTCTGCGAAGGGAGGTAATTGATATAACCCTTGGTAGACAACAGACATGTTCGTTGTTGGGGAAGTGAGACGTCTCAAAAAAAAAGCGTCACTTTCCGACCATAGGCATAACCTGTTTATTCTGGGTACATAAACTTCGGGTGAGAAGACATTGTAATCCTAGGACCTGTAATTGGGATGCCTTTAAGGAGGAATTCACGCAGTGATTGGAGGTCTGTCCTCCGACACCGAAGAATTTAGTGGATGTTCAGATTATGTCAGAGTCTCTGAAACAAACCTTAACCAACAACTTTGAAAAAAACTACCCTATAAAAATAAGGAAAGAGGTTCGAGATGCCATATAGTGGGATCGAGACCTTTCCAAAAAAAGAGCAGACGTTCGTGAATTCTTTAATCTGGCCAATAAGTCAGGCGCACGGGAGAGAATATGGTTATGCCTTTAGAAAAGCCGAAGAAAAACCCTGAAAGAAATTCTGTGACGCCATTGAAACCATTATAGAATGTTCGAGACTCGGGAAAATTCTATAGAAAGATAAACAAGGGTGTATGGGATCTCAGAAAAAGCCACAAGAAGAACTCAAAAACACTTTCCTGGATGTGAGATTATCGTTGACCAAGAGAGAAGGAATATCAAGGCTCTAATTTCTAGGGCTTCAAAAACTGGTCTCTTGCAAAGACAATAGTAAAGAGAACAAAACTTGTATGGGCGATAAATTTCTTTCAACTATACAAGACAGTTGGACCTGATGGTTTAATCCTAGCACTCCTACAAAAGGGCCGGGGAGTACTAGAGGGACTACCATGTAAACTATTCCGAGCTAGCATAGCCTCCGGATATGTATATGTTTCACAAAGCTGGAGGTCTGCAAGAGTCGTTTTCATTCCCAAACCTGGGAAAGTGTCTTAGGCGGAGACCAAATCTTTCAGACCAACCTAACAACATTTCTCCTAAAAACATTGGAGAAACTGATCGATAGATATTTACGGGACGATGTTCTACAGGATGAACCGATACCTCGATACCAGTTTGCCTACCAATTTGGAAAATCTTGCGATGCAGCCATACATAGGCTAGCTGAAAAGGCCAAACAAGCATTGGAAAGCAAAGAAATAGCACTAGGAGTTTTTTAGATATAGAAGGAGCCTTTGATTCCGTTTCATACATTCAATACTGGGATCTATGCATTGGTGGCGTAGCACATTGAATCATGCAGTGGATTGAGTTCATGCTTAATCATATAACCATTACTAGTCATTTCTTTAACACGACAAGAAATATCTCAGTTAACAAGAAATGTCCGCAGGGAGGAGTTTTATCTTCACTTATGTGGACCTTGGTGGTTGATAATCTCTCATCGGAGTTACAGAGAGAAAATTTATACACGTAAGCATTTGCAGACGACATAAGCAACGTAGTCAACAGTAAATTTGGGGCTGTTGTTTTTGAAAGGATTCAGCAGGCACTAAATATCGTCGAAATATGGTCCCTAAAAGAGGGATTGCCAACAAACCTGACGAGAACATCTGTTGATGCATTAATTTAAAAAATAAATGGAATCTTCATCTAAAAATGGCAAAAGAGGTTAAATATCTTGGAATCATTCTTAGCTTCTGCAGCCATATAGAAAAACAACAGAAAAAGCTGTAAGAATACTATGGGCCTGTAGACGGATGGTAGAGAACACATGGGGGTTTAAACCACAGAAAAAAGATAGACGAATAATCAGGCTCACTCCGTGTTAAAATAAAAGTGTGGCGACAGAGCAAAGTCGGTGCTTATGTACTGACATTATGATTGAAGCGGACGAAACCTCACTTACTAAGATCAAATGGTTTCTTATCGAGTGTGCCTGCTTTATGCTGTGGTTTAAATAAGTATGACTCACTGGCATTATACTATAGTGGTAGTACCTGTTATTGATTACTCATCAGTCATATCGTGGCATAAGACTAAAAGCATAACTGCTTACAGAAAATTAGACAAGGTATTTTATACAAGATTAGCCCGTCTAATAATAACAGGAGCATTTATAACTATGCTCACTGCATCAATAGAGCTACTGCTAGGTTTTTCTCCATTACACCTTGTGGTGGAGAACAAGGCTATGGAGGCGGCTTTGGATTGGAACTTTCAAAAAAGGACACCATATATGTAATAGAACCTACTCTTTACGGGACAATGCGGCCTTAGAAGACACCTACATCTCTTAGGGATATCTAATGACTCCCTATGTAAAATATGTAAAGAGATGGATGAAACTCCAATTCACATACTATGCCATTGTCGGAACCTTAAATGGGAACGGGACTGACACTTCGCGGTACTATATCCGGAACCTGAAGAAATAGCGAATGCGCACATCAAGAAAATTAAATGGATGGGGTAGAAACTGTAAGGGGTACAATAAGCCTAGAGCTTCAGTACGAGTGGGCTTTGAACCACACCCTAATATAGATAGACTATAAAGTAATACATTTTAACAGCTTTTAACTCGAGAATGGAAAAAGATATCGACGTGTAGTTTTCGCTAAACTTTTTATATTTGCTTCAAGTTTTTGTTGACTTAGTAGAAAAAGCAAAATGTTTATTTAAAGTAAATCAGAAATTACACCTTTAAGAAATCAATAAACTTTAACAGAAAATCACACTATCTTACAATTACACGTTTTTGACTTAGGTTCATAAAAAATTAATATCTCCCTCAATCCATAACGGAATGACCACAATGTGTAAATTTTTGGAAAGGGGAAGAAAGGGATTTTCAGATGATATGAACAACAATATAGGGTGTTCTGTTTAAAGTAAACCGCTAATTTTGCTTAAAAATATCATATATTTTTCGGATGTTTCGGGAATAGTAATTTACGTTACAAGACCGGAAAGTAGTGTTTTACAGGTCGAGACAAGCAGATTCCAGGGCGAGCCGTAGGCGAGTTCTGGAAGCTTGGTGAGACCTGTAAAACACTAATTTCCGGTCGTGTGACGTACAATATTTTTTTTAAGACCGACTTTTTAATGTAAACTAATTTTATTTATTTTATTTTATAGTTATAATTAAGTAATAATCAACAAATACTACATACAGAAACTAGATAATGCCTAAATTGGCCAAATACATTATTTTTAAATATTTATGTTAAATGTACAATTGTGAACGTTAAATATCTGAAGGGAAGATGTGTCTGAAATACTTGGAATTGTTATGTTTTTTGTAGCGGTACTAACAAAATTAGTTTGCTGCATATTGTTTGTGGAACATCCCGTATGGATTTTGTTTGCTATATCAATTTTAAAAAAACCAAAAAAGGTTGACAGCTGTGTGCACGTAGTTTAGATTCAAAAAGGAAAAACTTGTATTTCGTGCAAAACTTTTTTATTAATCAATGCAAAGCGCTTTCGGCTTATTTGCCATCATCAGTGCTCATCTACAAAAATTGTGGATGTAAACTTACAATTTAAAAAGATTTAAAAAAAATATATTATAAAATCTGAATTAGACTTTTAAGTCAAAAGTTAAAATAGTATATATACAATTGTTTGAACAAATTAAAAATTACAAGAAACAAACAAAGTGACAAAAAACTGGTATTGGGAATAGTGAGTGTGGGATAAGCCCTTACAAATCAAATCTGATCTCCAGAAGCAAGTTAGTTTGTGTGGAATTAAGGAATCATGCCACCCTCACTATTCACAAAATTGAAAAAAGGTTAACAAATTAGTTAAAATTTGAAGAAATTTACAATTAGAGGGTGACTGTGGAAGATATATTGAAATTTGAATCTAGAATGCAATATTTGATATGAAGAAAGTGAAACGCAGAAGGCCAAAGTAAAAAAAAAACTGAAGGTTTTTTTTATATATGTTTTATATACATTATAATTATGAAAAAGTCTACCTACTGTCCACAACGTATCCAACAAGTTCCTGGTCATCCTCACTCCCAAAATTATATATTTCGGGATGTTTACAACTTGCTAAATCATAATTTTATTAATATTAATATTTTCAAATTTAAATTTATCTCTTCATTTTGGTTCAAGTTGTTTAACCGTTTCCACATGACAGTGGTGACAAGCGACACTTGAAGACTTTGACTTGTCACATGTCAACAGAAGGAGGTGCGTTCACCTCAGTGTGGAACATGTTTCTCCGAGTGTGATTCGAGTGATTGGAGGTTAACGGAGATCAAAATTTGTTATTGAATTTAAAGATTTAATTTATTGTTAGTTAAATTTAAATAAATGTTTAATATAAAAGATATTATTATTTTGATGTCAAGACAAAACAAAAATGTCACTTGCGTGATTCAGATGTGTCAGCCCGGGCTCTGCAGAACATTCTTTCAGAGAACCCAAGATGGCACAACTGAACCCGCGGTCCCTAAAGGTGAATCTGATGTTTAGTCATAATTATAATGTATATAAAACATATATAAAAAAAAACCTTCAGTTTTTTTTTACTTTGGCCTTCTGCGTTTCACTTTCTTCATATCAAATATTGCATTCTAGATTCAAATTTCAATATATCTTCCACAGTCACCCTCTAATTGTAAATTTCTTTAAATTTTAACTAATTTGTTAACCTTTTTTCAATTTTGTGAATAGTGAGGGTGGCATGATTCCTTAATTCCACACAAGCTAACTTGCTTCTGGAGATCAGATTTGATTTGTAAGGGCTTATCCCACACTCACTATTCCCAATACCAGTTTTTTGTCACTTTGTTTGTTTCTTGTAATTTTTAATTTGTTCAAACAATTGTATATATACTATTTTAACTTTTGACTTAAAAGTCTAATTCAGATTTTATAATATATTTTTTTTAAATCTTTTTAAATTGTAAGTTTACATCCACAATTTTTGTAGATGAGCACTGATGATGGCAAATAAGCCGAAAGCGCTTTGCATTGATTAATAAAAAAGTTTTGCACGAAATACAAGTTTTTCCTTTTTGAATATCAATTTTGTTTTTCATTGAATTTTCAAGGTAACCTTCTGCTACGGTTGAGGATTTTCATCCTCCGTGCCGTTATAAATTTATAAGATCCATCTACTAGCAGAGTCGCTGAGCTTCGACGAAAGCAGTGACCTGTGAATTCGCTTCGATTTTCCAATTTAAGATAGTAGGCGATTTTGCTAGGGGCTTTTCCCACAGAATGCAAACCTACTGCTTGGGTTGAACACTTCCCATTTAAAAAAAAAATAAATAGTCGTTTATGGTTGGTATGCGGTGGCTTCAATTGCAAATAATTCCTATAAAGTTGCAAATCTCTTTGAGAATTTACAATAAACGTTCTGGTGGTATTCGTTTTGGTTATGGGGATTTTAACTATCAACATTGTTTCCTTAACCCATAATTAAAAGCACCTAGAATAGAATTAAAATTTATTGTAATCAGTTTTTACTTCGTTTCTTTGATTTTAACTTACCTTAAGCATAAGATATTCGATATCGGGAGCATTATTTAGAAATGTTTCGATTTATTCTCTTGATTTCTTAGATTTCTTTGCTATATGACCAACCGATTTCTTTTTAATAAACGCTATTAATTTGAAAAAATTGTTGACATTTACATTATCTTTTACAGTCATCGTAGATTTCAGCATGGAATATAGGCTCCATAATGATGAAGGAGCCAGTTTTTGTGATTTTTCGGCAAAATATGCCAAAAGCACGTCTTCGTTTACATTTTTTACTTTTTTTTTTATTTTATAGCTTTCTTCGCTGTTTCTAAAATATCTTGTGGAATTTCATTTTCAGCATCTGAATCCATATTATTTGTAAATTTGAAAACTCACAAATCAGGAGTCTAATATCAAAAGCAGCAAACTCCATATTTTCCGATTGAAGCTTTTTGTGTCGTACCGTTTTAGAATGTTTGTTTATTAAAATATCAGATCTTATTTTGTAACAAAAACAGAAATAAGCTGTTAAAACCATTCAGCAAACTTGTAAGTTTATATCAGAAACAGCAATCTCCAGATTTGACAACAAAAGTTGCAAAGTCACTTTCAGCCAATAACAAGTAGTTAAACTAGTATGGTAGCTGTAGTCCATTTGAAACAGCACGTGCATAGTTAATCACTGTTTTTTAGTATATAGTAACAAAATAATAAGAATTGTTTAGTGAAAATTTATAAAATGGAGGTCTCTTGTCCTCTGTGGATAAAAAACGCAAGAAAGTGTGTTAGAAATGCCAAAAATTGGAAAGCAAATAAGGCTAAATGATTGAGATAAGCAACATTTTTCCAGGACCGCAATTAGTATATCTATATTGACAATAATAAACACATATAAATTCCTACATTTGTAGGGAAAATGGAATTTCACTATACCCTATTTGTAACTTTTTATAAACAATATGAAAACCATTTGTTTATAGTTTCTGTTAATCACAGTATTAATTAGTAAGCAGAAGTGTGTTTGTATTCAATACAGTCCTGGATGTTTTCACACCCCAGTTTACTATCATAAACAGCAATCTCCTTTCATGAACAAATCATATATAGCAAATTCCTACCTTAAATATCAAATACAGCAAACTCCAATATATATATAGCCAATTTAAAATATTATTCAAAATCCTAAGGCAATTTTGACTACAATTTACATAAAATAATTTATTTACACACTTAAAAGTCAAAATAGTAATTTTATGTAACGTCCTAATATTTTTTAAATAGTTTTTATTGTGTAGTGGAAAATTTAGAAAAGTGGACTTTGCTACATTTGATATTAGATGCCTGAAATCAAGTTTGACATAAACAATAAATTAAAAATCAACGAACTGTCACTTGAAAATAAATTGCAAGGCAGCCTGGATTATTAAACAGCGATTGGAAAAATTGAAAAAGAGGGACCGGTAAAGACTATTTTTACCGGTCCCTAGAGTCTACTTTCTGGTCTAGACCGCCAAAACGTTACTTTCTGGACGAAAAATTGTCCAGAAAGTGTATATTTTCTGGTCGGTCTTAAAAAAAATTATTATTGGTTTTGAACCGCTTGTCTATACCTGAAACACCGAGATATAAAGGTCTGTTCGGGTTCTTTAAAATACATTGAAAACTATCAGAGGACTAGTTGACCAGTGGACAGTTTAATAGTTGTGTGCGACGTATACTTTAGAAATGAACTGTTCCACTAGTTCTCGGACGGTTTGCATCGAGTATTAAGGAAACCCGAACAAACCTACTATAGTAGTATGAATTAGTAATTCTTAATCAGTTCAGGATTGTTACCGCGAACAAAGCTATAAGCTAAAAATTTGTTACTGTATTGTGTAACACCTTGCATACGTGTTTATCTCAGTATCCATTCTTATAATTTTTAGGTTGAAGCTGATGGTTACTATACACAAAAACATAATTTTACTGTTGAAGATTATGGAGAAAAATTTCCCAAATTAACAAATCTCACTATCTTTCTGCTAAATGCGACGGTTTCCACAACGACGACAACTGAAAGAACAAAATCAACGCCAATATCATCAACAATATCAAAAATAACAACGAAACTAAATACACAGAATAGAACAATTCAGGAGAAACCAACAAGAAAAATAACTATGGCGACACAGGAAAATACAATGATTAGTGAACAAATTAGGCCGGTTAGACAGAATAATAATAATGATGCCTGTTATCACAGACAAACTAATTTTTTGTTTCTTGTTTTAATATTAATTTTAAAGTGTTTGTGGTAATAAAAAAAAAAAAAAGTATACGAGACAATTACACAGGGTGTTCGTATTTTTGGCCAGCAAAGCTTTGTCAGAGATGGGTTTCTAGTAATCCTAATCTTTTTGTGAAGTATTGGTTCCTATAGAATACTCGTACTATTTAATTGAGTCCACCAAATAAAAAAACATAGTACCTATCTAAGAAATAAAAAAAATGCAAGTAGAAATAATACACAAATAAAAAATCGGTTAAAAAATAATTTCATCAAAAGAAAATCACTGTTAGAATAGAAACTAAATAAATTTACAAAATGGTCAGAAATATTGTGGTACCTACAGGAAGATTAGGAAAGACAATTTATAAAAGTAATTTTAAAAAACCGACCACAAAATCGTGTAAATGCCATTACAAATTGAGTTTTCTGATTTTATCATAGATGCTCACTAGATTTTGACTAAATTTATATGGGACCACTCCACTCCTGAGTTATCCCCTTTCTAAGAAATCGTACAAAGTGGTAAATAATTATCGCTATACAAATATTCCGACGAATTGAGAACATCCTCCTTTTTTTGAAGTTGGTTAAAAATAAGTAAATGGAAGAGATCTAACATTACAACATTAATGGAAAAGTTGGGTACAATACGAAGCGAAAATAATCCACATTTTATGGATATAAAGAAAAGCCAAGAAAATAAATAAATATCCTGATGGCGATATGTTATCTTTTCTGATTTTGATTGGAAAATCTATTATTACATGACACACCTTTTTCACTTAACTTTAAAATGTATTATTTTTGTAGTTAGGTACTCGAAAATCACGATTCATTTTTTAACATAGGTACTTAATCTTATATTCTAACATCCTGTATAGTTTATTTCGTAAACTCTTTTGTACAAATCATCTGTGATATGTAAATATTTAATTTTAAGTTTATAATGTAGAGAAAATACATTTTTTAATAAAGTCAATATTCTGAATCAGAATAATTTATTATTTATAATTATGTACTAATTAATTAATAAATACAAATTAAACGTTTTCAAGATATTTTTTTGCCTATTATACGAGGGTCATTCAATAAGTAAAGAGACAAATGGCTATAGCTCAAAACCGGTTTATTTCATTTTTTCAAAATTTTTCAATATAATCACCCCCCACAGTTATGCACTTGAAAAATTCTTTCGATTTACCCCGAAGCCACTTTTGCACCGCTTCCTTAACTTCCTCATTATTAGCAAATCTTTTTCCACGTAGGGCGCCTTTGAGTGGTCCAAACAGGTAAAAATCAGATGGGGCGAGGTCGGGAATGTAGGCAGGATGAGGTAAGACCCCCCAACCCAATTCTTGAAGCTTATTACGGATCAGCTGGGCTGTATGAGGGCGGGCGTTATCGTCCTTTTGACAAGAGTCCACGGCATTTGCTGCTGATAGCTAGTCTATCTTTGTGTTCTAGCATCTCAGAATAGTATTGGCTATTGATATTTCGCTGATCTTTAAGGAAATCGCAATAGACTGGACCCTGTGAGTCCCAAAAGATGGACGTCCACATCGGGGTTCATCACCTACACTTGTTCGGCCACTTTTAAACCGATCAACCCACTTGTAAGAATTCGCACGATTCATACAACTTTTATCGTACTGTATCAACATTCTAGAAAAAAATTCACTTGGTTTTACTTCTGCGACTAAAAATCTAATGACTGAGCGCTGCTCTTCTAAGGTGCAAACTTCTAGTTGATCAGAGCATATCCCAAGGTTGTCAACTAACATCTCTAAAAAGATTGTACACATTCATTGAATAGTTTTAAAATTATAGAATTTGTCTCTTTACTTATTGAATGACCCTCGTATTATAAACAATACTCTAATGTTTCTTATGAGATAGGTGTTATTAAAAATGAAGTCATTATACTACGTTTTCAATATAATGGACAGTGGGAAAATTTTAGGAATTTGTAATGGAGTGCTGACATCTTTTATCCCTCCAAATTTGTAGAGATTTTCAGAGCTTACGGGGAGGAAATGTTCCCAGTGGCGGTCAATTTTAATGTTTTACAGGTAAAAGACATATAATATATATGCATTTTAATTCAATACAATTTTTTCAAACTGTTGAATTAATGTATGCTATTTATAATACATTATTTCCAGATAACTTCTGAGATATTACCGTGGCCCGTTACCATTTTTTTAGATACCAATAAAATAGAAATAACAAAAAATAATTGTTTGACTGTTGTTCAGGGTCGGTTTAGAAGTTATCTACAAACGGAATATTTAGAACCGCTATTTCTATTCTTGGACCTAAGTTTGTCTACTTGTTTTATAACGTGGCTAATACATTTAGACCAATCAGCAGCTGTAACAGCATTTACTGTGTTGTTTAAAAATATTTTTACGTCTGCCAATTTAGATGTGGTATTTTTACTCGCGATTCGCGATAACACCTTTTACTTGGGCCCATATTAACTCAATCGGATATAATTCGCAGTAATAAGGTGGGAGCTTTAATACACTGAAACTGCTTTCTTTAGCTAGTTTATCTACGACCTATTTATTCTAATTTACACTTCAAATTTATTTAACAATTTATCTTTATTCGGTAACATTTATATTGAAACATAGCTTAAACGGCGAAACAATTCATTTATATATAAAATTGTAACAATCTAGAAAGATCCAACCCTGACTAGAAGCTCCATGCTAGTTCCTCGAAATTCTTCATCCATGTGTCGGACTGCGAGTCTTCGAGGAGGACGAGCAGCGTAAGCAAGAGACATAACAGCAGCGACAGTGTAAATACAGACGAGATGGCGTGGCAGCTTGTAGGGAGAAGTCCAGGATTGGAGCGACCCTCGCACGACATTGCCTCCTTTTTAAGAGATAGTTCTTCCTGGAACTAAAACTGAATAGTTGTATCTGCAACTGGACCCTCTTTTACAATTCGCATGGAAATAACAAGAGACGATTTTTGCTAAAATCTGGACACTAGGCGAATGCCTGCAGACCAGTATTTGAACCTCGATATCTTGAACGATTACTTCCACCATGTTTTTAATGATCCTTCAATTCAGCTGGTTGCTCTCTATCTTGGGCAAGACTAGTTTCTGTACATTAAACTCTAGTACGTGCTCCCTCAGACTGAGTAATGCTTTCCATACATCATGATGAGTGGATCGATCTCGGTAGGTGTTCTTTGTTACCAAATAGAAAAGACAACGCGATCCATCTTGAAGTTTTAATGCTTTTCCAGGGGCTGGTAACTGATCTTAAAGTTCTAGCAATCTTCCGGAACACAGATGCTAGAGCGTCATTGATGCCGGCCTAAGTGCTATGGACCAGCGAGTAATCTTTAGGAACCGTGAGCAAATCTTGTTGTTGCTCAGTTATAATACCATGTCTTGCTTTTCCGGTACCTTCTTTATATACACCCATAAATTCTTCAAAGAAGGTCAAGTACTACTTGGAGCTGGTTTACTTCTTCCTTCTCGTCATACACTCAAATGGCGCCAGCTGGTTTTGGTACACTTGTATAGTTTTCCCTAGATATGTAGCTTTGATTTCTTCTTTATTGAGGACTCTGCGAACGTGTTCTTCCATTTTTGGATCAAACTCAAGACCAGTGATTTATCTCAGAATCAATAAGTCTCGGAGAAAGTGCATCTATTGTTTCACCTATTTTCAATCTTTGCTTCAATTCAAGCCATGATTTCAAACAATCTATATACGTTTTAGAATTTTCATGATGTGCTAAAGAGTCCCCTAAATGCTTCCAGTCTTTAAATCCCCGATTACCAAGAGCTCTCAAGCTAGATGGTGCAGCAAAAAGTCGACATGGAAAACAGTACAAAGCGTTTTGAAATACGGAATATACCATCCATTCTCTTAAAACCTCTTCTCCATTTCTAAGCCTTTTCTTGTAATGTTTTGGTGAGAATCTTCTATGCTGATCATCAAAAGGAAAATCAAAATTATACAAAGCTGCAGCTGGACCACGTTTAACCAAAAAAACTCTATCTGCTGCATGCATGATTTCGGGCTCTAATCCTGGGTCAGAAGAGATACTTTGGACGGTAGCCTTTTTTTAATGTTTCTCTGAGGTCTGTACAATTTTGCAAATTTTGATTTTTTGAAACTGCACGGAACTGCATTACTACTCGCCAAACTCGTTTGAGATGACTTACCCAGCTCAGTAATGCTGACGGTTGCGTCCAAAGGGGGGTCCATATCCGGAAAGTCAATATCTAGGTGCTGGGCGTTGTTTAAATGTTGGTCAGTTGTGGCAGCTTCTAAACTACCTTCTTTCAAGAAGTTCTGCAGCACATCTGACTGTTTTTGAAGCTGTGTTTGTTTGTTTGTTTGTTCAATCTTCCCTTTTTAAATTCGCTCCCAGAGGGTTTTCTCTTAGCATCGGACATTTTGGTTTCTGAAACAAATTAATTAAAATAAAAGATAATACTGATATCAAAAACGCCATGATTTGATTTAAATTATAATGTCTGAAATCCCCCCCTTGGTGCGCCACAGGCTTAAAAAAATGTATTTTATTCAACTTCAGACTCAATTACCTTTCATTCGATACCACACAAGCCATGATTTGATTTAAACTCTAATTTTCGAAATCCCCCTTATGCGTCACTGACTTAAAAAAATGTATTTCATTCAACTCCAGACTCAATTACCTTTCATTTGATACCACACAAGCCATTTTTTGATGTAAACTCTAATTTCTGAAATCCCCCTTGTGTGCCACTGGCTTAAAAAAATAAAATGCATTTTATTCAACTCCAGACTCAATTACCTTTCATTTGATACTACACAAGCCATGTTTTGATTTAACTCTTAATTTTTGAAATCAACCCCCACCCTTTTTTGGGTTTATGTCTGATGGATTTTTTTAGTTTTTAAAAATGAAAACACTTACCTTCACAGAAGCGAAACGCATTGGACAATTTGCATAAGCACTTTTTTAAAGCTTTTTTGCACTAACAATAATTTAAACAAACTATTTTATTTCGCACCAGCCGAAGTCTAGTGGCAAATAAGGCATTGCTTTAAGTCTACTTCCTTTTTATATGCAGTTAAAAAGGGCTGTTAGATCTTGTTTCGCTTGTGTTGCCACGGGCCGAAAAACTTGTCAATTCTTGAAAGGCGGTGGTTTTGTCATGTTGAATTGAATTCAACTAGATTTTGCCTTAATGTCTAAATATATTATATTATTTGAATTATGTACTTAGAACTAAAAATGATACATTCCGCCTGCCGCCTCTTAATCTTGTCTACTATCAGTCAAATCTTGCAACGCATTTTTGAGAAAATATCCGTGAACCTATTTCAATGTTTGGTATACTTACAAGGGTCCGATGACAATGCAATATTATGAAAAATAATTTATTGATATGATATCAGAATGATAAAAAAATATTTACTTTTTAGTGCATTTTATAAAAGCCTGTTATTCATTTTTTTTATCAGTTTATTTTCATTTTCCATGATTTTGGCGCCACTAGATCATTGCTCTCCGGGCCGCCGCCCGGACCGCCCTACCCTGGGGCCGGCCCGGCTTGTATTATAGTTGTTGTGATATTGCAAATTATATTGAATTTTTTCTAATAGATCTGATGCGATGGTACTATATCATTTTTATTTTATAACTAAATATGTCATGCACTGAACGTAATTCTGAACTGAAAGCCAATTTATTTCTTTTAACATAGTTGCAATACTTATCCTTCTGTCTTTTATTAATAGAATATAAATAGGCGAAGTAAGGAGCCCAAATATTTTACATGAGCAGGCTTAAGAGGTAAAGGGGCAAATTATTATTGGATAAATTGCTCGAACAAGTTTTTAAACCCTAATCAAAAGGCGATATAGAATGGTTTTAAAAATCAAGGCTTGTGAAAATCATCACCAAAAAATTCAACGTCCTAATACTACCATTGGCTTTCGGTCTTTCGTTCCAAGTTAAATCATTTCTCGTTTTTGTTACGCTACGAGTTTACCCTTGTGGGCCTCAGTCTCGATAAGGTGGGAACCACCAGTTTAGCTTCTCCCGAATTTAAATTAAAGGAAACATTCACTAACTTAAATACACCAAACTACTGAACTAAACTACTTCTGTTTACATAACGATCATTTTTTCCGTTTTTTTAAACTTTCGTGCAAAATTTATTTTTATAAGAACGTAAATATTTGTATAAAGTGTTGATATTACTATCAATATAAGTGAATTTTACCTAGACAACCAATAAATAATCAGGGAAAAATACGAGACCCAGTCACTTTATTTCGAAACCGCAAACAGAGATATTACATTTCTTGTATTTCGTATCAATCCTTGAAATTCAGTATTGTTTTGAATTTTGTGTTATAACAAAACTAAAACGAAATATGCGTCTATTATTCAATAAATCGTCTCTAATTTTGATGTTCGGATTATTTTTGGAAGTGTTTTCTAAATTGGAGTTTGAATATCACAGCAATAAGGAAATGGAAAATATTTTAAGACGGTTTGAAGTTAGTGGTAAACAAAAGTTGAAAACTAAGTTATATTCGATTGGATATTCATCGAGTACAGGTAAGTCTTTAAAAATTCTACATTTTTTTTAGACTTTTTCATATTGCAAGCTAATATTTTTATTTATACAGGGTGGGCTATCGAAAACTTGGCTTTGGGGTTTTTGGTAATAATATAGTAGATGTAGGAAAATGCTTAGACACATCGATTTTAGTTTGGAAGGGAACAATATTTTCTCCTTCCTGCAGTACCCTGAACAACCCCTAAAATTTGAATAGGGAATAAGGGTCGAGTTGCAGATTGTTCGAACGCTCATTGAATTCTTTAAACAACGGTGTACATCCCAGACAGCACAAAAATATTGCATGCATATTCAATGCATACGGAGCTGGGTAATTATATGTACTTTAAAAATAATTACAATTACAAAGTACTTTTTTAAAAAAGGAATTAATTACAAGTACAAAGTACATGTTGCAAAAATATGAATTATATTGATTTAATTACAATTACATGAAAAAAGGAATTAGCAATTACTTTTATAATTACTTTGCCGATGAAACAACAAATTATGATAGAATTGAGGAACCACGAACCAACAGGCCGGTACAAATAAAAATTTTAAATAGGTAATTCATAGTGCCAAACTAACAGCCGTTTGCAACGACTTTCGTTAAAGATATCTTAAGGGCGGGTTGTATAAATCTTACTTAAAGTTAAACTCGGTTTGAGGTGATACAATAAATTTTGTATGGTATAGGTACAGTCTAAATACTATTTAGCACTTAGGCCTTGTTTCCCCAAACATTAGAATGCACATATAGCATCGGAAATTAACATGTATTACCTAAAACTAAGCTTAATTTTAAGTAAGCTTTATACAACCAGCCCTAAGGGCCCATTCCAACGCTGTTGTGTTAAACGAAGTTTAAATTACTATGCGAAGATTAAAATGACATTATTAGTGTAAAAATGTAATTTTAAACTTCGTTTAGCAATTTAAACTTCGTTTAACACAACGGTGGAATCAGACCTAAGTGTATTGTTTTCTGTACCCTTTAAGGTCTTCCTAACTTAAGGGAAAAGACAAAATCGATAAGTAGTATAAAAAATGGAACAGGTAAGTAAATAATAAAATGTGAACTTTTAAAAGTTTATTGATTTTCGACAAAAATACAAAATTTCGTGTATCTTCGCCTAGGTACTTTTATATTTTATCTAATCTGAATTTTTGACCACCTCGTATTTGTTTTAATTAAATATTATGAGGTAGTAAATAAAAGAAATAAGATAGGAAGGAATAAGTTAGCCATTTTGATCAATTATGAATAGGTTTGACAGAAAAAATTGCAAAATTAAAAAATCTCTATTTTTTAACAAATCAAGTGTGATAGATCAATGAAATTAGTTATTCAGGGAGAATCTAATTTGTTGATCCTTGATGTTGTGTCCCAAAAGTTACTGTTTTTTAATCGGCGAAAGCTCTAGACTAATTTTTTAATAAACTGGAATTGTTTTAAAACAATTTCTTCTCTACACACTAGAAATCCAACATTTTTATTTTCTCCTACTATATTATTACCCAAAACCCCATGTCAAGTTTTAGATGGGCCGCCCTGTATATCTAGATCAAAGGTGAGCGGCCTTTGATGAGGTTTACTTTATCAAATTTCTTTAGATCAATAAAACTTCAAAAATTGAGCTTGTATTTTTTTAAAATCTCATACCATCGGTATTAAAAAGTTTTGGTTGTTGTTTATAGATTCCCTATATCATCTGCTAACTTATACCAAGACATCGATTACAAAAATGATTTTAAATATTGAAAAATGTATATATTTGCTCTCTCTGATTTCTTATGAAACTCATAGAGTGAAATCCAAAAATGTATTTCTTCTTTAAACATTGATAACTATTTACGTACTACCTGATGTGTTTAATTTTTGGAAATTAAGAGCAAACCGAACACCTTGAACAATTTTAAAAGCATTTTACGACTTTATTTTTAGTCCGATTTTTGTGATATTTTCAAGAAGTACTATTAATTACCAAACTTAGGGTGGAGAAACCTTGAATTTTTTTGAACCTTCGATAAATATATATTTTGTTAATTTTTAAACGGAAAATTAAAAAAAGAAGTTTCCGCGCCATTCAGTATTAAATCTATGAAAATTTACTGCTTTTGTTTTAATAAATATTAAGTAGTTTTTAAATAAAATGCTTTTCCACCTTTTCCTAAAATGTCTCTGCAAAGTACTGCCATATCGTTGCCGAAATTTAAAACTCTTAAGGCCCTGAGCTCCAATCGAGTTGACTCAAAGCTGGTTTGGAACTGTATAAATACCCTAGAGTGCCTCGGTGCCCGGAACAAAGTTACTTTGATCTGGGTTCCGAGACACAGTGGTGTGGAGGGCAACGAAAAAGTCGACGCACTTGCTAAAAGAGGAACCGAATCTGTGTGCATAGGACCAGAACCATTCCTGGGCATTGCAAAAAGCACTGCCAAAAGTGCCAAAGGAATTATTTGAAAATGGTCGGAGGGTGCAACATTCACGAACTGGAGCGATACCCCAGGGCTAACCCATTCGAAGGCGTTTATAACCAATCCTTCTATAAACGCCTCTGCTCAGATCCGAGAATGTAGTAGGAAAGATCTACGCATTTTCACTGGACTGATGACCGGATACTGCCGTCTGCGCAATTACATGAGAAGGATAGGTCTGCAACAAACATCGGACTGTCGATTCTGCAGCGCAGAACACATTTTATGTACCTACTCTGCTCTGGAAAGAACCAGGTTCCAGATCTTCGGATTTACACGACTCGAGTCTACCGACTTTAAAGAAGTCTCACCCAATTCAACCATGACCTTTATCAAAAGGTGTGGCTTGCACGGTTAACTATAAGTTAGTCATGAGCCACAATAGACCCATATGGGTCGCAGTGGAAGGCGTTGAGATTATCCCACTCATTTTCAACCTAACCTAACCTAACCTATATGTACAGACATTTTTATAAAATATTACTTTTAAATTATTTATACATTTTTTGTATTTCATAAACTGTTAAATGTTAATTTATACGCACGCCCATGTAGTCACACGTCAACTTGAAGCGAGAATAGTTGCAATATGATAGACATACGTAAGTTTTATTCTCTTACTTATCGTGATTGTACCTGCAATAGCGTACGTCCATTACTATTCATATTATATTTTAGCTTTTGGACTGTCAGCGCGGAACGAGAGGCAAAGAGTATGGCATATAAAGGTGAAATAAGCATTTCGCGATAGGTCCGGTTTCCTTTCTTTTAAAACAGTTCAATAACCATGATAAAGCGTTCGAGAAAAGAGTAAATTAAAAAATAAGGACCAAGAACAAAACCAGTAAAGAATAATATAAATAAAGAATTAGAATAACAGTGATAAAACTAGGCTGCACAACAGGTCTAGTTAGATAAACCTCTTGAAAACCAGGGACTAACAGGTGGTAGTTAGAGAAGTAGGACTAATACTACCATACAACCTTTAAGGCCAAGAAAAATCACTTGGTGTTTTCGGAAATGAGGAAAAACTAGTGTGTATGGCAGTACAAAATTTATTAGATAATAGGGTCTATTCTGTAAAAAAATCAGTTAAATTTAGGAGGCCTGTTAAAAATTATTTATTTTAACGGAGTCCTTTAAAAATGACAGGAGAACAATATTGTATTTATGATTCATTTGAACTAATTTTGAAAGATTAAAAGAATAAATTTGAAAACATAATCTTACAAACCCTCAATTTGCAATTCAAAACCAAAACATACCTACATACATTAAAAACAAAAAATGTCTCGCTCACCAAGAACTACTAAAAACCAAAAAGAGTGGATGATAAACTTCTTAGAACATCAAAATTTGCTTCACGGCTTGAATATAAACCTAGAAGATACAAGGAAATTAAAAAAAGTTTGGAAAAACGTTGCAACCGAATTAAATAAAATTGGGCCTAACATTTAGGAAAATTATATTTGTCGCTTATCATATTATTTTTTATTTTCCGAATTAGGAAATACAACTTGGGTAACAGGTTATTATAAATTATATTTGTTGCTTCATCTATACTTCTACTCATAATTGATTAACTTATACCAAAATAATCCCTGTCCTGTAGATAGTTGGTATCCTCATCCATCCTCCTGTTCCAAAAAAATGAGTCGCAAGTATTTTTAAATATATGTTGGTATTGCCGTATTTCTTCGAGATGGCCCCATGCGTGATCATATAATATTAACTATAGTACTGGTTATAAAAACCGAAAATAGTATATTATGCAACGATCATGTAATGATAGTTATTAATACACGAGCATTAACCGGGATACGAAACGAACCAAAGGCGAGTTTCGTATGGTTTATGCGTGTGTTTTAATAACCATTACATGAGAGTTGCATACGCTATTTTTTCTACACCCGAATAATAATCAAGGCATATAAAATTATATTTATATTGGTATTGAACACAATAACAAAATTGTAATTAATGGTATTACTTCGGGTATTGGTATTTCCCTAGATTTTTGCGGCAAAATATTTTGTACTGTATTTTCTGCTTTCTCCGATATGTGTGGAGGAGTCTTCTATATCGCTGATATCAGACATTTTAATATTATAATTAACGAAGTTTAGTTATCTACCAAAATTTAATACGTTTTGAGAACTAAAACAAATACATAGGAACCTAGGACAAACGTCAAACAGCATGCTTGATTGAAAAATTGTAGGTTTCTATTGATTAAAAATCTGTATCGTAATGAAAAATCTGTATCGTAATGAAAAATCTGTATCGTAATGAAAAATCTGTATCATAATGGGTATCATTATGAAACGGATTATGGGCATATAAGTGCATTATTATAATACGGGTGTAGAAAAATATTTTTAAAATATACATTTGGTAATTGACCTCCGATGTAATCGAAATTCGGCTCCGAAATATTAAATGTAATAGATGTACCTACATTATAAATGTTATGTACTTTATTATAGCTTTCTTCATTTTTCAGTAACTCTACAATCAA